AACAGAGGCACCCTCGAAAAGCGTTCGCTTTACCAACATTGACTCTACATATACGATATAGATGAGATGTAAATGAAGAACGAGAAAACAAAGGAACCAATTAAAGAATCAAAGAGATGAAGGAGAATAGAGGTTAACTATAAATAGTGAATATGTATACATGCCACATCACTGTAATAAAATTGATGAAAACCATTGTTTTCATCATCAAAGATACAGTGCTCTTGATTTTTCAAGTTGCTGGGCGATGAAACAAAAATATGAAGCATAGAAGTTTCCCGTGTGAATTGCCATTCCAGATGCCATTTCGACTAAAACATGATAGGCATGGATTAAGTGCAAATTTTGGAAGATTGCGACCGGTATCGGTTTAAACTAATCAGGTTTGACTGAATCTTTGAATCTATCAGTCACAAAGAGATCTGCAGAGAATTGATCGATCTGGTACTGGAGACAGTACCGTTCTACTTTCAAGATACTGCTTCTTTCTGTATTCAGCTCTCAAATAGATTTCATTACAAGATTCTCGTGAGTTACTACGAAAATCAATAGAAGTTGTACATAAGCTTATATAAAGTGTGTCACATAACAGCTTTAGATAAACTGTTAATAATTCTTTTTAATACTTTTTCTTGACGCAGAGAACTGAGTTTTTAATTACATTAATAAGATTGAACTTTTTATATCATCTTTATTCATTGACAAGTAATATTTATTTCATAAAAATAATTTTTTACAAGACATTTTTTGTTAAATATATAAACAGTAGTAAAGCTCCATACGTATGAACATTGTTTTCTATAACCATTCATTGTGCTTTCCAAAGAATTTTTTCCATCCTTTTACTAATTGGAATATTATTAATGCATGAGTACACAAGATGATAGAAAACGCCGAATGCATTCAGAATGTGTAATTCCTGTTTAAAAAGTGTGTTTTAGAGTGACGATATATTTAAAATACGAACTGACACTATTCATTCATAGCCGTATAATTATGTGATCTTTTTTGCTAATTCCTGTCTCCTTGTAGATTCTGCTAGCTCCTATGGATCGTAACACGACATCGATCAATCCGTCATCTTTTATGAAGGATGTTTTCATCGATGCAAAAGAGAGGAAAAGATCAATTTCAAATGACAACAATCTTCAGGAATGCACCATTACCAGTACAAAACCTCACCCGATTCAAGATTCGGTGTATGACTTTATCTTTTGATTTAAAATATGAACTTTGCTGCGCTTTTCTAGAAAATATGATTATTGGATAATCAAGGATCGAAGTACCAAACCTGTCAGTGTATTGACAATGATCACAATTATAGCTTTGGTTACCGGCATATTGGTAGTTTGCTTTGCTGCACCAAAAGACCTAAGTATATCTTTGTTCTTTATCGTTCTTTTATTCACAATTGTATAAATAAGCAATTAACCCTTAAAAGCCGGAAGGCCTTATCGTCGCAATTTGAACAAATTATTCGGTAAAACAGAAGGTGTAGTATCTCAATAAGAATCATTGATAATAAAAACAAAAAAAAAATTTTTTTCTTACGGAGATATAAAATGTCCCTTGGAAGGGACATTCGGTCGTAACGGTCCAAAATTTTTCACTGTTATCAATTTATGTAAAAGCAATTTTTTCTTTAAAATACCTCTATTTATATGTTTCTTATTACTCAAGAAACTAATTCTAGCAATATTTTACAATTTTTCAAAATTTACACACTATCGGTTTCAATTTAAGTCTCGCTCAACATATTTAACTGGTCAATCTCCACACTCCGTAGCAGTCGCTGATTTTAACAATGACTCTCAATTGGATATCGTCATTGGTAATACTGAAGATAACACTATCAGTATACTTATTGGATATGGTAATGGGTCTTTTGTAGACCAAAAAACATATTCAACTGGTCAACTTCCAATCTCTGTTGCTGTTGGTGATTTTAACAACGATAACAGATTGGACATCGTCGTTGCTAATTGGAATAACGATACTATCAGTGTACTTCTCGGATATGGTAATGGTTCTTTTGCAGATCAGAAGATGTATTTAACTGGCCTAGAGCCCCGAGCTATAGCTGTTGGGGATTTCAATAACGATATACGATTGGATATCGTCGTCGCGAATTTGAAGAACCAAACTGTGAGTGTACTCCTCGGCTATGGGAACGGCTCTTTTGCAGATAGAATGACATATTCAACCGGTTATTCTCCAATCTCTGTAGCTGTTAGTGATTTGAACAACGATAACCAATTAGATATCGTCGTCGCTAATTTTCTGAGCAACACTGTCAGTGTACTAATCGGATATGGAGACGGCTCTTTCGCAGATCAGATGGAATATTCAACTGGCTTCATGCCAATATCGGTAGCTCTTGAGGATTTCAATAACGATAACCAATTAGATATCGTCGTTGCTAATTTTTGGGACAAGACTGTGAGTATACTTATCGGATATGGCAACGGCTCTTTTCGAGATCAGAGGACATATATAGTTGGTGTTGGGCCACAATCTGTAGCTGTTGGTGACTTTAACAGCGATAACAGAATGGATATCGTCGTCAGTAATAATATCGAAAACACTGTCAATGTACTTCTCGGACATGGCAATGGTTCTTTTGACGATCGAAGGACATATAGAGCTGGCTATGAACTACAATCTGTAGTTATTGGTGATTTCAACAACGACACCCGACTAGATATGGTTGTAGCCAATTCATATAGCAACACTGTAAGTGTTCTACTTCGTTATGACAGAGGAGCTCTAGCGAATGAAACTACATTTTCATCTGGCGATGGTTCTCGTTTGCAAAGCGTTGTTGTTTTTGATCTCAATAACGATAGCTTTCTGGATATAGTCGTTGCCAATGATGGAACAAATAATATAGGTGTTCTTTTGGGTAATGGGAATGGTACTTTCAGAGACCAATTGAAGTTCTCAACTGGCGTTCATTCTCATCCTCACTCGATTGCTCTTGGTGATTTCAATGTAGACGATCAAATGGATATTGCAGTGGCCAACCGTGTCACGAAAAATATTATACTATTTTTAGGTGATGGAAATGGAATGTTTGAAAGTCAAGATAGTAATGATAACGTTTATGATGCTACTCCATTGTTCATAGGTGCTGGTGATTTAAATAATGACGAGACTTCAGAAATTATTGTCACATATTATGGCATTGATAATGTCGATGTGTTTGCTGTATATGACACTGGATATTTTCCAAAGCAAACAACGTATTTAACTGGATCTTGGCCACAATCTACAGCTATTGGTGATTTTAACAACGACACTCGACTGGATATAGTCGTGGCTAATGCGTATAGCAAAACTGTAAGTGTACGTCTCGGATATGGAAATGGTTCTTTTGGAGATCAGCAAGCATATTCAACTGGCGATTTATCATATTCTGTGGCTATTGGAGACGTTAACAATGACGCCCGATTAGATATTGTCGTTGCTAATATGGGCGACAACACTGTAAGTGTACTTCTCGGATATGGAAATGGTTCTTTTGCAGATCAACAGACATATTCAACTGGCTTCAAACCACAAGGTGTGGCTGTTGGGGACTTTAACAATGACGCTCAATTAGATATTGTTGTTGTTAATTCTGGAAACCATACTGTGAGTGTACTTCTCGGATATAGGAATGGTTCTTTTGCAGATCAGCTGACATTTTCAACTGGTTGGGCGCCACAATCTATAGCTGTTGGTGATTTTAACAACGACACCTGTTTAGACATCGTCGTTCCTAATTTTGGGGACCAAACTGTGAGTATACTTCTAGGTTATGGCAATGGTTCTTTTGACAATCAAAAAACATATTCAATTGGTGATGATCCAATGTGTGTAGCTGTTGGTGATTTTAACAACGATGGCCTATTGGATATCGTTGTTACTAATGATGGACGCAACTCTGTAAGGATACTTCTTGGATATGGAAATGGCTCTTTTAGAGATGAAACAGCATATTCAACGGATAGTCATGCCATCTTTGTATCTGTTGGAGATTTTAACAACGATAACCGATTGGATATCGTCATTGCTAATTGGGATAAAAACACTATCAGTGTACTTATCGGACATGGCAATGGTTCGTTTGGACATCAAAGAACATATTCAACTGGCTCTTCCCCAACATTTGTGACAGTTGGTGATCTTAACAACGACACACGGTTAGATATCGTCGTTGTTAATAATGGCGACAGTACTGTAAGTATATTTCTTGGACATCGCAATCTTGCTTTGGAAAAACAAGTGACTCTTATTACTGGCACTGGATCTCAACCGAGATCATTTGCTTTGGGGGATTTCAACAATGACAACCAAACAGATATTGCGGTCGTGAATTCACGTACTAACAATGTTGGTATTTTTCTGGGATACGGAAATTATTCTTTCACAAATCAAACCACATTCTTAACTGGCACTACTCCAATCTCAATTGCAACTGGTGACTTAAACAAGGATAATATACTTGATATTATTATTGCAAATCATGACACTGACAGTATCGGTGTATTTCTTGGAGCGGGTAATGGTTCTTTTCCAGTCCAGAAAGTCTTTATGACTAGTTACAAATCTCAACCTATTGCGGTTGCTGTGTATGATTTCAACAACGACAGTTTGTTAGATATTATCGTTGCTAATTATGGCAGCAATAACATAGGTGTCTTGCTTGGATATGGTAATGGATCATTCGCAGATTTAGAGTCTTTTTTAGTCAGTTATGGATCTCGGCCATTCTCGGTCTCTGTCGGTGACTTAAACAACGACAAAAAGCTGGATTTCGCAGTGGCTAACGAAGAGGGCGACAATTTAAAAATTTTCTTACAGACTTGTTAATTTTACAACTTCTAACTGGTGCTTTCTTCGTGTTTCATTCTTTACGTTTAACTTCTGTAGAATGCTACTAATATTTCGTCTAAACTTTTGTCTCTGTATCTTTTGAGTATGGGTATCAGTATGGATGGTTTGTTCTATGGATGTGCATAACTGTGCGTGTCATAAAGAAAAACTTGTTAGCGCAGCTCTATCGGGCTGAAATGTGGAACTCACATATATTCTATAGCCTCACTAGACGAATACCAAATACGTAAAGTGAAGATGCTCTCACAGACTTTTCTGCATTTTCAACAAAGATTTATTTTTATGCGCGCTACTATTTATTTTCATTTACTCAATTCGCTCGTAATTTTTTATATTTATTTTTTAATTTAATATTGCTATTCATGAAAAACGCAGGTAACGCACAGACATTTTTTCAATTTCAGAAGTGTATATCTCGACTACTAATGAAGCTAGAGAGTTGAAAATTTTAAGAAATATATATTCGATGGAGTTCTACTTCCCATAATCATTTCAAGCTTCTATCTTTATGCAATCGAGTATTACACAAAAAATATTGGTCGGTAACGCACAGACCAAAAAGACCCTCATTCTGAAGAAGATACGAAATAAGTAAAAATTCCTACGAATTGCTTCATGTTAAGGAATTTTAGTAGTGAGACTTTTTGTAGCTTAGAATTGGGGTTATTATCTTTTGCTGAATAGATAGCATCGATATCTCGAAAACTGAGTGAGTTATTGACAGAATGTTAGATAACGCTCAGACACGATTTTTTTCGAATAGTTTCCAAATTAAAAAATATTGCATTGTATTTAGAAATTTCTCTTCAGAATATTCAGGTAATGACATTCATTTATATTTCAAGAAACTACTACTGTTTTTATATCAATATTTTAAATATTGTTTAAACAAGTTATGTTAAAAACAAAACGATAAGTTCACCTTCTTACAATATCAATCAGAAGAAAAAAGTCCACTTCGATGTTGAATCGCCATACATACGGCACTCGATAACATCCGGACGAATGGGAATGACATTGTGCAATTTCTGAGTATTTTTGACCGACTTTGTCTTAACGAATAATTGTTGAAGTTTTAGTTTCGATGCATCAATCTCAGTTTGAGAAATTTCATTGATCTCAATAATGTTTCTGTTTTTGAGCCGTAGTGAGCTTCATTGTGACGAACTTGATGAGAGAAGTAACAATGAGAGAGATATTCGCTTTATTTGACTTCTTCACACAATAAATCGTCCCCGTTACACATAGAACACACGCTTATATACGGGAGACAGACAATGAACGACAGTCAAGCGTAGCCGTCGCACGAGAAAAGAATGGCCACGCGGGCAATAGAGAGAATTAAGAGCCCCCCGCAGAAATGATTTTCCACTTAGAATGGTTCTTTTGCGCTGAAATTTTCAGGAATGAGTGATCCTGGAGAGATACGCTCCCAGTAAAAATTTCAGCTCGATTGGTCGTACTAGACCGGAGTTCCAGCTGATTCATAGGTCGCTTTTGGCCTTCAGGAGAATCGACGAAACTTCGTCATCAGATGAGATAGAGAGCTCGGGCTAGTTTCAAATTAAACCTGATGTCAGTACGCAATTTTTGTCCGAACAGAATTTTTATATTCCTTATTGTTCATTTTTTATGAGCATTTTAGTGCGAGGGTCTTAAAATTAGCATAAAAAATGGTAGTCCAACGACAGTAAATTCCACTTTTCTCAGCCCAGGAACCAACTTTCAAAAATCCGTTCGGACAAAAGTTTGCTCTGATCGAGACCTTTAAGGGGACCCCCCTTTCCCGACCCAAAAAGTTTTTTTTTTCATATATAGGTGTATCAAGGTCTCCTCTATGTGTGCTATAAAAATCAGAAGGGTGTGGGTGTGGGGTGTGGGGTGTGGGTGTGGGTGGGTGTGGGTGTGGATGTGGGTGGTGTGTGGGGTGTGGGTGTGGGTGGGTGTGTGGGTGTGGATGTGGGTGTGGGTGTGAGTGTGGGTGGGGGTGGGTCGGGTGGGGGTGCGGGTGGGTGGAGTAGATGAGTGTGGGTGTGGGTGTGTGGGAGTGGATGAACAGAAGATTTACACATCACATCCACACCCACACACCCTTTTAAAAATCAAAATAAATCATATAAACGTTTTCTGTTTAATTTTTTTTGCAGATTTTAAAAATTATCATGAAAGAATATAAGAGAATGTTCATTGCATAAATTTTATTGAGTATCTTCCATGTCGATTGAAATGAAAACTGTTTAGAGAGAAATGATTTCCTATTGAATATTGAAAAAATGTTTTGATTTACATGAGAACAATGATGATCTATGAATCGTTGTTGAATAAAATCGAGTATAGATTTAAAAAAACCGAAGAAATGACTCCCAGAGATATTTTTATTCTATATAAATCTCCTAAAGCAAAAGTAAAAAGATGTTGATAACATAGTTTAATGAAATTTTGAATATTGAAACATTTTTTTTTCTTTCTCAAAGGAAAGCGTGATAAATTACATTCAGTGAATATTCAAACCAATGCGTAACAAATATTTTATAAATTTTAATGTTTTCAAAATGTTGTTTTATCGCCGCTGATTAAAGACTTTTATCATTTTAATACATTTCAGAAATATTTTTCTTAAAAAATAATATAATTTCAGCTCAATAATAAAACTTAAATACTTCAATAGATAAGGCAGTATGTATATAATAACAAACATTGTTCATATCTTCACGACTAAAGCGAATGAACAATTTCTAAGGGAGGCGGGGATTCTAGATGAATGATTAAATGATTCTAATTTTCATAAAAAAATGATAAAATGTTAAGTATTGTTAGATAAAATTGAAATATTTATTAACCCTTTACCCCCCATAGCGGTTCCAGAAGAGCCACTGATAAAATAACTTTATAAATAGAGTATTAGCCTGTCGAATATGCCAATGGTGTGACCTAATCCATCGAATGTCCTGGTTCTGGAGTAGGGGGGTTTGATTGATATAAAAATCATGTGGTGGGAAATGAGAATTGAACAACATGATAAGACTTAATTTTTTTTTTCTTTGACCACATTATTGACTCGACAGAAGCAGCATCTAGCTCGTACTGTTGAAGTGATAGGAAAAACGCAACGAGTGAACCGATAAAAATTAACATAAAACAATGCATGCTTTTTTTACACCTATTGTCAAACTTAAGCTTATTTTTCTCTGAGCCATTTTGTAACGTCTGGAGGAATTTAATTCATCATAAATACTATTTCGACTTCTCATGAGTTGAGGTCTATAACGCATATATTAACTTTGTTCTTGATTACCCTCCATCTGTCTAACAGTGAGTACATGGTCAATTATATTCCTTAGTATGTATAATTTGCGGAGTTATCATGAAGCTTTCGAAACATATCTAATTCAACAGTAGACTTCTTCATCGATTAATATCACACAGAAATTCCAAAAGATCTCTATCGACTGCAAGTGAAAAACATTTTGTTTAAAAAATTTCGAATTTTTGCATTCTTTTCAAAATTTTTGATTTTGTAAGTCGTATATCTCGAAGGCAGAGCAAGGAAACAAAATATTTTTTTTTACCAATCGATAGATTGTGAAGTTTCCTACAAATAATGTCTTGGGAGTTTTTCAGCCTCATGCTTCCTTTATTTTCTGTGATCGTTCTACAAATGGGTCATATATGACCCACTGGGGGTAAAGGGTTAAAACAAAGAAGTTTATTTTTCAATGCAAATCTTTTGAAGCAAATGAAAATCAACAATTGTAGATATTGTTACGTTACTCTTACCGTATTCGTGAGAGTCACCAAAATGTTATTTAGTCGAAAAAGGTTCGTTAATAATTTTGAAACAATATCAAAATTTCAATCAGTTTGTTAATAAAGACTCGACTTATTTGAATTTAAAAATTTTTTTTTCTCACAAATTCAGTAATTTATTAAATCCTTTTGATTGAGCTTAGATTTTATCGAAATCAATCGAGAATATATTGTCGAAAAGAATTTTTTAAATATTTTAATGAATTTAAGATTTCGTTTTTTCGAAAAATTAGTTTTAGTCAGAGAATATTTCTAATACGATACAATGTTGATGAAATGATAATGCGTTAAATAAATAGCAAAAAATATTCATAATAGAAGCAAAATATTCAAAACACAAGAGAAATTTGTCGACGAGTTAAAATATATCGCGAAAATTCTGCATCAACATAATTTGTTAATCTCCTGTTAGTATTCGATGAATTAATTATAGAATATTAATGTTATTTAAGAAACTCCTTCATTTTTTTGATATATTGTCATCAGATGCAGCAAAAAGACTCATCTGTTTTATTTCTGACTGATGAATTCTATTTCTCATTCCAATTTTGAAACTGAAATTCATATTAATCGTAGTATCATTAAACTCAGATGTCAACAGACTGTGAATGTCAAAGGCGACAACATTTCATTTTCAGAGGTAGTCAGAAATGCAAATTACTACACAATACGATCATTATTTTATTTTCGAACAGAAAATTTTATTTTTTTTTATTTCGATCTCAAATTCATAACAGTAGAAGAATTTTAGCTCGACGACAACAGCAGTTTAGTCCACGTATAAAATGCTAAATAATGTCAATATATAACATTACTTTTCTATGATAGGATTTAGAAAATGACTCTAACTAAACTTGAATATAGTTTAGAAGGAATTAGAAGTTTTCATTGTTTAGAATTCGATATGAATACAGAGCTAATTTTTAATCATTGTTCAATATTCAAAAGAAAATGAAATCTTAATAACTCAATCTCAACAATCTTTCTATGGTAGTCTATCACTCTACAACTTATTATAAAATTCTTGAACAATTTCACTGGAATAATTAGTTGTAAAAGAAGTTTACTTTGTTTGTCTCAAGTGTTTCTGCGAGATGTTGTGCCCCGTTGTTTCCTATTTAGTCCAGCTGAATGAGAGTCTCTGTGCAAAAAAAGGTATATAAATAGTCTGAGAGTTGCTAATTAATTTAATTAATTTAATCTATTGAGTCTTCTTATGCTAGTGTATGTTTGACCAGTGGAAAAACATGCAGAAAAATGATAACAACAAAAAAAGTCATTGAATATAACTTGACTTCGAGATTTTCGTATCATTTATTGCCGATAAATATCTCTCATGACATACATTATTTTTAAACAAATAGTTCAAAATTAATTAGGGTTTCATTACTATAACTATTAACTTTCTCAATTATTCATTCTGTCAATATAAATATTTCCCAAATGGATCATTATTCAATTTTACACAAAACTGACATCAAAAACATGTTTTGAGAAAGTTGAACAAAAAGAATTCAACAAGTAAACGAAGCATTTGAAAAAAGACAAAGTCTCTTAACTATACTGAAGAAAATATATAAATATGACCGTTTGTATTTACAGTTAATATAATGATATATTTTTATCAAAATAAAGAAAATTCTATTAAAATGATCTTTGTTAGATTTTCTTTTTCAAAGAGCAGTGAAAATGCAGTTTGAAACAAATAAATTCTTGGAAATGTGAAAAAGATAATCATTATTTTCTGTCGCATGGGTTAACATGAAATTTTTCAGATGATTCTCAATCGATAAAATGGATTTAGGAGTTATAAAATTCCTATAATATTTTATATCAATGATTGATATCTAATAGAAAATTTGAAAGAAACTCTGTTTTCTTTTGATTTGAAGATGAATCATTTTCCAATTTTAGATTTTCTAATTATATTTTACTTCGATAGTGAATGGCGGCCAACTGCTCCTGGTCAGTTCTTATTTATTTTATCTTCTTCACTTCTCCTTCAACAGTAACAATTATATCAGATGTATATCATCACGTACAACAACAAAATGAAGAATAGTAACAGTCAACATAGAGAGGAAGAAGAAAAAGAAAGGCAGTAGTCGCAGATAGCATCACTACTAAACAGTTGCCATGACAGGTGGAGAAAATGATGAATTAAATGCCGAGTTAGGTAAATTGATTAGGCTTGTTAAATTCATCTGGCATGGATTTGCATTGTCGTATGAATAATACTGATTAATTGTTGATTGATTGTTAATGACAGTATTATTAGATGCAGTTATATTTTGACTGTTACATAATAGAACAATACTCATTGAACTATTCATCATAGAGAAATAGTTATCACTGATTGATACACCACCACCGTTTGCACATTGTATCATATTCTGACTGTATGGTCCATTTAGAAATGTTGATGATTTCACTTGAACATTGGATATAACTGGTACTAATTGAACTGGATCAGGTAAAAATGATATTACTCCTTTCTCTTGCGCAATACCCTGATTACGGTGAGCGGACAACTGATCACAGGAAATTGATCATGGGACAACTGATCACGGATAATTGATCATGGATAATTGATCATAACAGACAACTGATCACGGCGGACGACTGATCATGAATAACTGATCATAAAGGGTCATGAGATTATTGTTATCGTTTAGGGTGGGTGTGGATGTGTGAGGTGTGGATGTGGGTGTGGGTGTGGGTGGTGTGGGTGTGTGTGGATGGGTGTGGGTGTGGATGGGTGTGGGTGTGGGTGGTGTGGGTGTGTGTGGATGTGTGTGGATGTGTGGGTGTGGATGGGTGTGGGTGTGGGTGGATATGGGTGTGAGAGTAGGTGTAGGTGTGGGTGTGGGTGTGGGTGTGGGTGGGTGGGGATGGGGGTGTAGGTGTGGGTGTAGGTGTAGGTATAGGTGTGGGTGGGTGTAGGTGTGGGTGTAGGTGTAGGTGTGGGTGTGGGTGTGAATTTATTTCTTATTTTTAAAACCCACACCCACACCCCACACTCGCACCCACCACACACCCACACTCACACCCACCCACACTCGCACCCACCCACACCCCACACCCACCCACACCCACCCACGCCAACACCCACCCACACCAACATCCACCCACACCCACATCCTCTCTCTGTTCTTTTTTGTTTGGAAATAAATGACAATTATCAATTATCGAACGATTTTTTATGATCAACTGTTCAAGATCAGTTGTCCCTTATGATCAGTTGTCTATGATCAGTTGTCATCATGATCAGTTTTTCCATGATCAGATGATCATGATCAGTTGTCCGTGATAAGTTATCCCATGATCAGTTGTCCTAGACCCCCTGATTACAGTTCATATAAACATTTTGACTCAATGTTACATTACGTGCGGCAGGACCTTCGTGCCAATATAAAGATGGCTGAAATAGCACTGCTGGTCCACTTGTTCGATTAAACAACGACTGTGTTACAAGAATATTTCGTGTTTCTAGCAGAACACCACGTGCACGATTATTTGCGACAGTGAAGTTTCGTATGGTTAACGATGGTCTATCAGCGACACAAACCCAATCTCCAACACTTGCATTAATTGGACTAGTAAAGATATATAATTGAGAGTTCGAATTATAGACGGATGCTGAAGCCAATGTTACTGTTGCATAGACAGTAAACGGTTTTTGACTGGTGCTGAATTCTAGATTAGTACCAATGCCAACATTTAGTACATTAGGCCAATTGTTATATTGTGTAATAATGATTGCAGTCGAATTAATTACTTGTGTTACATTGAAATAATATGTTAGTGCATTCAATCCATCATCACCTGATGCTTCACATGAACTATTGATTATATTTATGTAATATCTACTGTCGCTAAAGTGCATACAATCTTGTACTGCGCTTAGCCAACGTCCATTGATTGGTTTTACATGATAATCAATCATATTTATACCATATGCTCGAAGTGTATAGGTAGCCATAGACCAAGACGTATAGATAGTAACTGACTGCACAGTGAAATTCGTTACATTTTCTGCATATATAACATGAGTTGTGAAAACATATCGAGCCACGATAGCATCTCCAACAACAAATCGTGAAGATGATGCCAAAGGGATACGCAATATGCCACTTGAAACTAAACTAGTAGTGACATTAGACGGTGGCGTCTGATAAATTTCATATGTTTGAGAACCAAAGGCTGGTATCATCAATGTTGGATTGTATCGAAAAATCGCTGCTACTTGTCGACCAACATCAGCTTGATGAGGTGGCACTATTTGTACATCGAGATAGCTGTTGGTCGCATTCATTACATATCCAGCTGTAAATGCAAGTGGATTATAATCAATAGCTAATGAACTGACCGTGAATGATTGACAACTGACAACTGTAAAAATTGCTGTCGATGAGTGGA